TTATCCTACGAATCCCATCTATAAGAAAAAAAAAAATTATTCCACGAAAATGACGTTAAAAAAAATTTTATGAGTAGGAAGGAGATTACAAAACGAGGAAGGAATAAAAAAATAAAAATAAAGGGCAGAGAGACGTAACCATCCACGTGTCTGACAGGCAAACCCCGTGGTATCCAATTGCCGGGTGACGTAAAGAAATCCATACTAGTGTTTGTTTAAAGAGTTTAAATGAGGAAGCTCTTTCTGAGTACTGTTTACTGAGAAATTTGCGAGAAAAAAAACTACATTGACTTCTTTTTTGGGATTTCTTCTCCCCAAATTCTAGGGTTTTGTTTTCGTTACTTCAATTCATCCGGTAAGTGTCGATTTTCTTCTTCTTTTTCTTTTCTTTTTTGTTTCTTCTTTTTAGATTCTCTGTTTCTTCTTCTTTCTTTCCTTTTTCTTCTTCTTGATTTCCATTACACAATTCTGATCAATTGCTTGTTTCTAGGGTTTCAGTAATTGGGGGATTTCGTTTCCCTTTCTTGTATTTTGGAATTGTTTGGTGGGTAATATGTGTTTTTCTAATTGTGGGGGGTTTTTGGATTTTGAAGAATTCGGGTTGTAATGAATTTTAGCTGATATTGTGTGGGGTTGGTTGCTGAGAATGCTTGGGTAGTGAAAAAGATTTTGGATTTTTGGTTCTGGATATATGTTTTTCTCAGCCTTGATGTAATGTCTTTTTTTAGTAATTTTGGTTCAACTATGAAGAATTGAGAAAGGAATGTAGTCTTAAATGGTTTCTTGTAATATGTGATTGAATTTGACAAACACAACGATTCTTCTGAGGACATGACAAGGACATGATTGATCTGTTTTTACTCATGCATTATGCACTTAATTCTTGGCTTGGCTGCCTTTTAACTGAGTTGTGTTCTCTTAATCTTTTGGACCAGGCAAGGGGTTTAATAAATCAACTATCATTGAGGGAATTTCAAAACATGCAGCCAAAGTCTGAGAATGGAAAACAATCTAAACCTAACCCACATGGTCCTTTGCCAAACACAGTTTATTCTGAGCCTTGGTGGCGTCCTGTCGGTGGTTATAATACTATTCCCCCTGGAGTGAGAGGTGGAAATGTATCCAATTCTTCTTCAATTGAATGTCCTAACGATTCAGAGTCAAATGATGGTCAGTCACGGTCAAATGGTTTGCTGGATGGGGAGGATGATGCTAACAAAGAAACACAAACTACTGCTTCTTCACATTCAGGTACTTCACATTAGTTTTCTGGTAATTTAACTTTAGTGATTATGTCTATAAAGAAATAGAATAAAGAGAAAAGACACGGGCTCTGCAAAGCCTTCTTTAGGCAATGAACTTGGTGTTGATCTTTGCAATTCTTCAATCATTCATGTGCCTTAGTTGTAGATTATGGATAAGCACTTGACCAGGTTATTCAAATTTTGAAGTAGATGTTGTTCTATGTTATGCTTTTTCTACTAATCAGGAAGCCCACCATGAACCTCTGGTGTATATTTATTATTAATTTATAAAACATACAGTAATCATGATTCGTGAAAAGTGTGGAAAAATGTGTAATTGCTGAAGCGTGCTCTGGCTTGGATATGGAAATGCTTTAGCTCCTTACAGGTACTTCTCATTAATGTTTGTAAAGCTTGCAACAGGGATCCGTGCAGGCTTGTGGTTGAGCTTGTAAATGAGTTACTGAGTTTAAGCTCTTTTATTTGATTGAGCTATTCCTTGAGCTGAGATCTAGCTCAAATTTCAGACCAAAGGGTACACTGTTGACTTTGTGTACGGTCCTGGTAAAGTTAAATTCAAGATATTAAAATAAAAGTAAAAGGTTTGCTTTACACTCAAATGAAATCTACGTTACTCTCCAGACCTGCATCAGAGTATTTGACTACTGATAGCATAGAGAGAGATACGGTGAATTATCCATGTAAGAACGCAAGCCATACCTGGTACAAATTTTTTATTTCCTGAGGTAGTTGATTTGTTTACTGACTGTTATGAAGATGATATCCCCCTCTCTCTGATGGAGGAGATGTAGTTTAAATTAATAATTGAGGATACTAACGAAGACTTATGTTCAATTTCAGTTGGAAATAGTGGGCAAGAACCACAAAGTTTGACGCATGTTACACCAACAGAAGCTCCCCAGCTTGAACTTGTTGGTCACTCAATTGTAAGTGCATTAGACTTGAAATTGGTTTGTGTCCAAAAGTATAGGTTTCAGCCTTATATGTCTTTGGTGTGGAATGACTCTTAAATTCTTTTAATTCTTTCCAGGCATGTACATTAAATCCATATCAGGATCCATATTATGGGGGCATGATGACAGCTTATGGACACCAGCCTTTGGTATGTTAACCAAATCTGTTGTCAGTATTGTGTTAAATCAAGATGTTTTCCATTTTATAGGTTATGATTTTCACCAATTACTAATAATAAAGACTTGCAATGACCAGGGTTATCCTCATCTTGTTGGAATACCTCATGCTAGAATGCCTTTGCCCCTTGAGATGACACAAGAACCTGTGTATGTGAATGCCAAACAGTACCAAGGAATTCTGAGACGAAGACAGGCACGTGCTAAGGCTGAACTTGAGAAGAAGCTTATAAAAGCCCGGAAGGTTCATAGAAATGCCACTTTCTTGCCAACTTAAGTTATTTGTATTGATGATGCCTATCAAACTCAAGTAGTTACCAACTTATCATTATGTATGTCATCTGTACTCTTATTCTTATCATGTCCTCTTCCATCTCTTATATGTCACAGCCATATCTTCATGAATCTCGTCACCAGCATGCCATGCGAAGGCCTAGGGGCAATGGAGGACGTTTTGCCAAGAAAACTAATGATGATGCTTCTAAGCCTCCTGCTAAGGAAAAGGGGGCTGATTCAGGTCCCATCCTTTCATCTCAGTCTGCCAGTTCATCAGGTTCCGAACCATTGCCATCTGATCCTGCTGAAACCTGGAAGTCTCCCATTAGCCAGCAAGAAGCAGGAGGATCCCAAGTTCACAACACAGCTCATGTAAATGGCAGTGGCCAATACCAGAATCATGGTGGTTTCCAGGCCCCACCATATCCTTCAAACTTGGGAAGAGAAGAAGACGGAGACTATTTGGGCCAACGACGAGGAAGTATTTCCTCTGCCCAGTCTTCACAGAGGCCTCTTGCCATCCAGTGAACCCCTTGTGTTGGGTGGGTGCCAAGATGAGGATACCCAGCCGAACATAGAGCTGTGAAGTCATTCTTGGCAAACCTGTTGCTAGGGCGGCAAATCATTCTTGGCTTTGGACTTGGTGTTTGTTTAGGTTGCAGTGAAAGGGGAGAAGGGATGATTGGGGCTTTATTTACGTTGGCCGCAGCCCCATTCATTATTTCTTTCCCTTTTTTGTCATTTCTGTACATGAATCATTGTCAGACAAACTCAAAATGTAGCTTAGCTTGTGAGGATCCTATACAATCTGACAGCAATCTGGTTTTCTGTAAAATCTCTTTTTCCATCAAAATTTGTGTTGTGTAAGGGTTTTAAACATGACCTAGCGAGTGAAGATGATATACGGATATTCTAAGGATTTTACCTGGTTGGGGCAAATTAACAAAAGAAAATGTATGTTCGATAAAAATTTAAAGTTGTGTAAATTTAAAACAGACTGATTCCAGAAAATAATCCTGGATGAGCGGTTTACAGAAGAACTAGACTTTGGCACTCTTTGTACTAGTATCACAAGAAAATAACGTTGTGGGTTTGAATCCCCTTATGGCCATCTCATTGTAAAGGAGAGAGAGTCTAGTTTGATCACCCATTCCACAGTAGCTGGTGATTAATGCCTCGTAGATATCCTCACTTGGGGTTAAAGAACGTTCTTTCATGAGTTTGAAAAACTTCTCTGCTTCCCCTAGTTTCCCACATTGACAAAGGCTTTTGATCAAGGATTCAAAAAGTAGTAATCCTGGAGAAATCGATCTGTACTCCATTTCATGGTATAGCTTGAGTACTTCTTGAATGTCACCTTCTTTTCCAAATCCCGCAATAAGAAAAGAGTACGTGATCTCATTTGGTGAGAACCCCTTATCTAAAACAAGTGTGAACAAATCATTGGCTTTCTTTGAATCTCCAGTTTCACTAAGCCCTCTCACCATCTCGTTGAAGGAGCAACAACTAGGAACAAGTCCCCTTCTAATCATTTCCTCACAATGGCTTGCACTTTCCCTCATTTCTCCCGCTTTAGCACAGCCCTCAATAAGATGATTAAAAGTTTCATCATATGGCTTCAAGCCCAAGTTTTCCATTTCTTGAAGCAATCTGTCTACTTCTTGAATTCTTCTTTGCCTACAATATGCTCCTATAAATGAAGTATATACAAATGAATTGGGGCTAAATCCTCTCTTAAGCATTTCTTCGAACACTTGCCATGCAGACTCCAGATCCCCAAGCTGCAACTTAGCATGAACAACCAGAGAATAACCAATGGTGTCGAGAATCAAATTCTTCTGCAACATCCTCCTCAACAACCCCACACTTTCTTCAATTCTACACTCTTCAATAACCCTAAACATTAAACTGGCATTAACAATTACGGTAGGGGAGCATCTCTTGCCATGAATCCTATATACCAAATCCACATACACCTGCAACTTCCCTTCCTTGCACAGAGCACTGATCATAGTTTGGGTACTATCTTCATTTGGGTACTTTCTCTTCTCAATCATATGTTCATAAATCCTCCAAACCAAACAATTCACTCCTGCTTTCTGCACAACATGAAGCAAAAGATTATAGCTTTTCAAACTCAAAGAAAACCCATGTTCCTCCAAGTAGCAGCAAACCTCGAAACCACCCTCCAACATCCTCAACTTGGCATAAGCTTGAACCAGCAGATCAAACACCAAAGGACTCGAAGGGACAACCTTGAAACTATCCAGCAATGATTCGACAACGGAGAGTTTGGGGATATCAGTCTCGTTCTTCTTCAAAACTGATTCCAGCATTATTTTAGCGTCGGCGAGTTGTTGGGCACGAACTAGAATATGGATCATGATGCAGTAGGATGAGAGGTGGTGGTGGAGGTTTTTAGTCTTCGCTGACCAATAGAAGAAGTTGAGGGCAGATCTCGCGTGGGGCGGTTGCTGGAGTCGGAGGAGAACTTGTTCGGCGAGGGAGTGGTTTAATTGAAGGGAAATGAATTTTCTGGTGAGGGTGTCCCAGGTATGATCTTTCTTGAATGAATCAGATATGGCATCGATGAGAATTTCGTTGCTTGATTGCGCGCGAGAATGGAGGAATTTCGGAACGGGAAATTTGGGAGTTGGGTTGAGGAAGGTGGAGAAGAAGGGTTGAATTTTCCTACGAAGAAACGCCATGAATCTCCTCTGGTCATAGAATCACACCACACCGAGACCCAGTTTTCTTTCCCTTCATCTAGTCCGAATATTTTCTCGGCTGGCATTTGCCCAAGCTTGGCTGGTCGGAAAAAAGGATGAAAAATGACTAGTAAACAACATGGTCAGGTCCAGCACTATTTCTCAGGAAACAAACAGAAGATAAGGGTTGGAGCTGTTTTCAGAATCCTGAGACCAGGGTTTTAAACAAGATCCACCATTGAATGCCTGAATATAGAGGGTACTATCATATAAATATAATATATTATTAAATATATATATATATAATTTTATAAATATATTTAAAAATAATAAAAAAATAATTATATAATAAAAATATATAATATAATAAAATTATAATATCATATAATATTATAACTATAATATTTTTAAATAAACTGTAAACTTAGCACTGTTGTCTATTGTAGGAAAGCGCAAGCATGGAATCCTTATATTTTATTATTACTGCTAAATAGTTTTAGAATCAAATTTTAGAGAAATTCCAAAAAAAAGGGGACTATGATCCCATTTAATAGGCATGTGATGGTTTTATGTCATCATATACTATTGTGATGATTTTGATGTTGGTCAGTGTCCTTAACACTATCCATGTCTTCACCATCGTGTTGCTCCAATATTGATCCTTCTCCAGTGCCATCAGGAGGAGCAACCTTCTCTGAGCCTGCTTTGCTTTGGTCTGAAAAATTGCTGGCGGACTCTGTTGCATTAACCACAGGTTGCTGTTTCTCCATCATCCCGGAGAGAGCCAGGCTTGGAGACCATTCCAGGACATCATCGATTATGTTTGACATCCGTTTCTGATACCTGAAAGAGTAAAATCGCCACATATTACACCCATGCACAACAAGATAATCCAAAACAATTGGATGCATTATTTACTATTCCCAATATCTCCTATTATAAAATATAGATTATTTTTAAGAAGAGTGACAGACCTGGCTCTAGCAGCCTCATCAGGAGCATGGTGCCTCAGCAAAAGGATTACCAGCACAGCTACCATCGCAAAGAAAAGTCTTGCTGTCCATTTTGGTGGCTCTTCCTCATCTTTCTTAGGCCAGAAACGGAATAATTCTCCCAGTGTTGCTTCCTCAGCGAGGATGTTAGGGAAGAACCAAACTCGCTTTCCAAGAATGATCCATGTAGCACCAAATATTGTAGCTCTCACTGCAAGCATAAGCAGAAAATAGAAAAGGACTCAGCAATTCTCTAACAATGTATTTTCATATAGATCCTACAATATTAGCTCCTTTAGGTTGCTAAATCAAGTAAATGAAGAATACAAGTGTATCTGTTTGTTGGTTTCAACTTAAAAAGCTAAATGAATGCTAAAATTTGACAGAGAGAACTTAAAAAGCAGTGTAAAAAGGACCCAATTGTAATTGCAGGAAAACAACAAGCAAAATTATAAATATGATGAACCCATCAGAACTTACATAAAAGCAAGGAGAGAATCAACAGAAGAAGCCCCGCACATGAGTAGAGTATTAGTATTTTGCATCGATGTGGATATACAGGAAACAAACAGATTGCAAGGGTCAACACAGGCCACAAAATTGAGAGAAGTGTTTGCCATAGTGGCCTCTGTTTTACAAATGCCCATGCAAAGAAGGCATCATTATCAGAAAAAACTTGTTCCTGCAATAACATTCACAACAGTGGTAAGAAAATGGAAGGCATGCCCTAATGGCAGAAATTTGAGTGTTCCAACCAAATCTTCCCTAACCAAAGTTTACAGAGTATTTCAAGATGTTAGATGTACAAACATTCACTAAGAGGCAATTACCACAATGCAGGGCAGGGGAATGTTGAATAATTCAACTGGTCAAGCACCTAATTAATGAAAGTAGTAAGCATCTTATCTTATCCTATCCAAAATTTTAATCTTACACAAGTTATATACTCACAGGGAAGATCTCCAAATGCGCTGGCCAGGTAGACAACTTTTTCTTCCCTGGACGAACAGTTTTCACCACACGATCACATCTCACTAAGAGATTCTTACTTAACAAAGTGTTGGCAATATCCTCAGCTTCTAGATTCTTTTCAGATTCCAGTACTTCTTTAACCTCTGGATGGTTTTTCAAAAAGCTAACAAAATCCTTCCCTCTAAAATATTCCACCCGAGTTTCCTGTAATACAGCCCATCTAGACACCAATTCCTTATGGTCCCTCACCTTCTCAGCAAACAACTGAAACACATCTTTCTTTGCAGCTTGTTTCTGCCCAAGAATAATGCACAAATTAAGGAAAAAGAGAAACATAATCAATAACAGGTATAAACTTGAAAATTTATGACCCAACTGAAGAACATAACCATACAAACATGTCAAAATCCCAACATAATTCAAACAAAAACCATCAACATCAAACCTAAGAGAAGAAATGTCTTACAGGGGTATATTCAGTCAGCTATAAATAAGCACATCCAAGGCTGCAATAACGCAGAATACACTATCCCAATAATAGCATTGCAACTTATAGTTAAAAGCAAATGCAGACTCACTGCCAAACCATATTTCCCAAGTTCCTACTCGAACAAAAATCCCATTAGGTTCATTGAGATCTGGATCATAATTTGTTTGGTTGCTAAGTAAATTAAACAGAATTCAAAGAGAAAATAAAAAATAAAATTCATTTCCGCAATTCTCCCACACACGTAACGAAAAGGACAAGCAAAAAACAAAAGATACATATGAATCCAAGAGAATTTACAGAAGAACTAAGTAATAGTGATGAAATTTGCAGAAATTGATCCCTTTTTAACTATCGTTATTTTCCAATTGGAAAACCCCAGATCGGGAAAAGGAAAAACGAACCCTAGGAGGAGTGTCGGAGTTGGGATCTCTGACGCCGTTCTGTAACGCTCCCGATGATCTTCTCCCCTTCTTCTTATCGGCTCCTCCCGGTTTCTTCATCTCTGTTTTTGTGTTCCTTTTTGTTTTTTTCTCATTCGAAGGGTTTAGTTTCCGTCATGCGTTTATTAACGCAAAACGACAGATCAAGTTGCCTTAATATTTTACATTTAATAGCTAATGGCGGTACCACATGGCAATTAATTTCATATCATAGAATGATTACGTAGATTTTTCACTTAATTAAATGTAAATTTTGGTGCTTACTTTTTAGAGTTTTGTATAATTTTTATTTTTTAATTCTTAATGTATTTTTTAGGTTCTTTAATTATAAAATTATATTTTTTAATTTTTTTATCAGTTAATTCATTAATTTATTTAAATATGTACGTTTTTAACTTTCCAATTTATACCATATGCATAATTTTTATCCTTAACTTAAAAATTTAAGAATTAAAAATGTGTATATATTGATAGATTTAATAGATTAATTGATAAAAAATAAAAAAATATTTTTTATAATTAAATGATAAAAAAATATATTAAAAAAATTAAAAGACAAAATTTATACAAAACCCTAAATTGGCATATAATCTTTTCACTATCAAATTTGAAAGTGATATAGGCATAACGTCCATTATGCTTATAATTATCCAAAATTTTGTTAAGGTTACATGAATTTTATTTGGTTAGATTGATATTTGTTGTTCAATTTTTAAATAATTAATTATAATATTTGAAAATATCAATTTATAAATATTAATTATTTTATTAGGTATTAATTATTTTTGATAGTCAATTAAATAGAATTAATAGTTTTAAATAATATTATGTAACTTTAATAAATTAATATGTGATTATAACCATATATCTTATAATTTAACATAGTATTATCAATTTATAACATAATATATAGTTATATAAATAATTATTTATTTTAATTTAAAAATCTATTTATGATAATATATATATATATTTCACATGTGTTGCTGCTTCCTTTTGGATTAGACAATGACTTCAATGTCCCCTTATGGTTATCCTCTTGAACCCATCAAGCGTGCAAGTGGCTGAGGTTTATTTCGTTTCCCTGCACTGCACATTCAAATGCTTTCTCTCCATAATCTCTTCCCCCACAAGCACTTATTTCCCATCTCACACCTCGCTGTACTAACAAGAAAGCACACAACAGTAGTCGCCTCTCAATTTCTAGCACACGATGATGGCACCAGAAGAACAAACTCGACTTCACCTTCATGTGTTGTTCGTGCAGTGGAGAAAGATTCAAGAGAATTCAACGTGGACCCAGAAAAGGCTAAAGAAGCCCTTCAAAAACTAGACCAGCAGCTGCAAACCCTCTCCAAGAAACAAGTCAGCCCTCCCAAAATAAAAGGCAAATCTCTCTCCCTCCCTCCATCCCCTTTCTGATTATCAATTAATTTTCAACTTACAGTTTTTTTTAGGCCAAATTGTTTATTTACACTCTATTCATTATTTTTTTCTCGTGGTTAATACCTTAAAATTTTTTTAATTTTTAACTTTTAATCAACACCCTTTATAGTTTACCATCCATAAAAAACTCAAAAATTAATGGTTAAATTTTTATTTGCACCTTTAATTTTATTGGTAATTTAGATATTTTTGCATGATTCAAATTATGGAAGATGTTGATTGAAAACGAAAAATATAAAAGGTGTTGTATATGGTATAAATAGGTGAATTGACCTTTTGTTTATTTAGAATTAATGCTTGAGTTGGATTGTTTTCAACTTATTACAGCTTCGGAGGTGAAAATTGGTAGGGATGAAGAGGCAGAGGAGATGCCTGAAGTTTCAGGATCTTTTCTAACATATTTAGCTGGTGGTCTTCTTATCTTCACTGTCTTTTATAATATCTTATTTTATACTGTAATAAAGCCAGGGATAGATGGACAGGAGTCACCTCCAATGACCAATGAAACAGAGTCTGAAGCAATTTTACAGTGATTAAATTAGAATTCCCCGATGGTTAAATATAAGAGCTTCTCTGTATTGTTGGAAACTCCAGAGAATTGTTGAAGCAGACCAGATTTAGAAGGTAAAGGATGACTAATCTGTAAGCATTTTTTTTTCTTCCTTTTTTGATTTGTAAACTACTATGTTATCTTCTTCACTCTCTTTAAGAAATAACTGATTGGAATAGCATGCACCACTAGTATTTCATGTTGGAAAATATATAGGATATAATGAAAAACATAAATATTCTTAATTAATAAACACAAAAAGATTCTTTTTTTTTTTGGTAGAAACACAAAAAGATTCTTTAAGAATATTTAAAAAGGTTTTTCTAATCTATGTCTATTGGTTAAAGTCTTAAAAAATAAAAAATAATATTTAATTTATCAACTGTCTAATTAAATTTATTTATATGATATTGACTGTAAAATTAATGTTTACTTATATATTTTTTTATATAAATTTATGACAAAAAGATATCTTTAACCTAAAATTTTGACAAATTATTTTAATATTTTAAATATTAACACATCTTAATTTTCACTTTTCTTGTGTTTTCATATATTGAGTTATGAATTATACAATAAAAATATCTATCTTCTCTCAAATTTCTCTCAAATTCCTCTCAATTCTTCTCAAAATTTGAATTTTCAATTTTCTCTTAGTATACAATACATAAGTCATGTACTCATGTTTACTTAATAGGAGACACTTATAGAGCCTGTTTGATTACCCGGTTCTTAGAAAAAGAATTAAAAGAAGCCAATAAAAAAATTAGCTCAATTTGGCTTAAGAAAATAAAATTTTTAATAAAAAAATCGATATGCAATATAATTGATTATAATGAATTGTATAAGTGATTATATGATAAGATTTTTTTTTTTGATTAAAAGGTGATTATAACTTATTACCTTTTTAAAAATTAATAATTATATTTTTATGATAAATTATATATCTTATATAATTAATTATATAACCATATATATAATCACATATACATCCGTAGCTTTGGCTACATTAGTTCGGGTGTACTAATTTCTTAGCAAATACTAGAATTTTAACCACTGCACTAACAACTTCTCTATCTCTGTTTTCCCTAATTGCCCTTGCTCAGAATATATATACATATATATAATCACATATACAACCCATTATAATCAATTGTATTATATTTCCATATACATATCAAAAAATTTCATTTCTTAAACTAAGTTGGTTGACTTCTTCATATTCTTTTTTCAGAGTCCATGTAATCAAATAAGCCCTATAACATAACTATTGTACACTCATTTAACATCAATGATTAACTATTTTACGATTTTTTCAGGATAGATTGCTAACAATATCATACAAAGATAAAAAGAATAGAGGAAAGAGGGGAATGTTTTTCATTTTTTAAGCACAACTTTTTATGATCCATAACCCACAAAATCAATCATGAAAAGTGAAGAACTCCACCAAACGGTCTGATGGTCGCGTGCCTCATTGAATTTGATGGGTTAGTCACCAGATATAGAGATTGAATTCTTAGTTACTAATATCTAACAATACTAACCTACTAAAAATTGCCCTTATAAAAAAAAAATCATGAAAAGTGAAGATTTTTTTTTTTTGGGTAAAAAGAATTATTAGAGGGGGAAGAGCTGGCTCTTTTTTTTTTTTCTGTTGATGATGGTTTGGGCTTTACATGGAGCCACGTGATCAACTAACAAAAACAACTTTTCGGCCTGTCTTTCTGCCTCCAAGGTTCGGCCTGGCCCAAAACATTGCTCATAAATTATAAACTGGTTTTGTAGATAAGGAAAACTCAACTCTCTCCCTGCATCTGTAACTGCTCTATGTCAACCTTGGATTTAGTTGAAGCCAAAGAGGCTGTTTGGTTCTGAGATTTTCTTCTCTAAAGTTTTTAAAATTTTTTCTTTGTAAAATTATTGGGTGTGCTACAACCTTTTTATACTGCTTTTTCAATACAAATTTCATGTGTTATTGAATAAATAAATACATTTAATATTATGGGTCTCATATGAATTAAAAGAATTAATAATTTTAATGATACAT